CAGTAACGATAGTAGTTTGCTGTGCTGCATGGAAGGAGCTGACAATGTCACAAACAGAATCCCCAGAAAATCTGTCAGAAATGTAAGAGCAAAAATTTTGCCATGGAACATTGCTAGGAGCAAATCCTGTTCCTCTCCACCACTGTACAACAGGCCCTTTGAGGTAAGAAATGGCCAGTTCAGTTCTGTGCTCAATAGGAGTTCTAGCTGCAGCAAAGTACTGCTCTAAATTCTGAATCCAAGACTCTGGGTCTTGACCGTCAAATTCAGAGATATTTAACTTTGCTGGCTTTATAGTTAGAACATTTCTTCTTCCATCAACAGGGAAATTGGGCCCTCTTCTGTATTGTGGATCAATGACCTCTTCCTCCTGCCGTTCTTCTAGTTGCACCACAATGTTTGGTGTTGTTTCCTTACCTTGACCAAAATTTGGATGCATGTAAGGTACTTTCAGAGTCCCATCCAAATTGAGCTCTTTTCCCGTGTGATCACGCAGAGTTGCATTTCCTACTGGCAAAGGGGCTCCTTTCTCTGGCATTGTTACTGATGGAGGAGTCAGAGCTTGGAGCTGTTTGGGTCGTCTAGGAGCTATTTGAGGAGATTGATTGTGGTTGTCCTTGACTTGGACACTGCCCTGACCTTCTCTTTCCTCTGCAGTAACTGGCTCCGGGTCCAACAGTAAACGCCTGAAATTGTCTTTGACCTTTTCAAAATTCTTCTGCATCGTGGCAAAGGTTCTATTCACTGTCGCCTGGAACTGCTGAAATTCTTTGCGATCTTCTTCTCTGTCACGCTGCAGCGTCTTGATGTCCAACTCCAGTGACTCAAGCTGCAACTCTGCAGTTGTGCCCGAATCGGCTTGACCTGTCATCTTGTCTGCTTCAGCAATTCACACCAGTGGTTGGGAGGGAGGGAATTCTCGTCACCGCTGGTACACGGTCAGATCGCAGGAGCTGGAGTTTTACCACCAGAGAATTACTCTCCGGCAACCAGGCTGCAATTCTGACTATACCCGAACTCTGCCACTCCGGCCACCTTCTGAATACTCCGCCGCCCGATTCAAGCGTGAAGAGGGATTTTACGGCCGACGACCAACCCCAACACTGCTCAAATCAAATTCGCCCCCGAGGAAGGACTGGCGTCTGATACCAATTGTTAGGACCAGAGCACTGTTCTACGCAACTTAGCTCACAAATGATGAATTTAGGGACGAAACAGGGAGCTTCGAACTAGGGTTCTTGTTGAGAATTTGGGGGAAAGTAGGTACAGCACGCCACCGGCGACTAGGGTTTACACCCAATACACAAAGTCATGCCCTCTCACACGCAGGGTTGCTGGCTTTATAGCCATTACAAGTTGGGAAAAGGTGAAAGAAAACAAAACAGAGCACATGCGCTTGCCGGAGCCGCTACAACTAATTCACTAGCATCGCCAACCCTTGGATGGCAGATCGACGAAGGAGAGCTGCCCACTAGATCGAACTGTTATCTTCGCTCCAGAGCCACACGATGACAGATCTATGGCTACGGTGTCTTCCGGCACGCGGGAACAGGGGAATGATAGGAACAGAGCCTGGCACTCCTGGTAGCCGCCTCGCCTAGCCGGTTTCCCTCCTCCGCAACCAAGTGCATCGCCGCCATCGTGTTCCCGTTCTTCGTCACTGGGACATCATGTTCCTGCTGTCCCTGTTCCGTCCCAGTCTCAGGCCATTGTGTCTCCTTTGAGGTATGAGCTAGGTTGTTTCCATCCAGCGATTCTCTTAGTGGGGGTGTACCTTCGTGATTTCTGGGCGTGCCGGACTGCCGGTGCACAGCCGGGCACCCGACACGCCGCCTAGATCAGCCCCTGCCTAAGCAGCTAAGCTGCTAGCTATCCTTCCAAACATGTGCCCTCAAGGTTTGTTTCTCGTCTGGTAGCATGGGATTATCAACTCTTGATTGCTCTCTTTCATCAGGAAATATGATGCATCTATTCTGTTTCAGTGTGCCAGGTTCGTGTCCTAGGCTCAGCCAGATGTCTTTTAAAAAAACGAGCTATTCCCCTTTCCATTAAAGCATGACGGAAATACATGCAGCATCCGTTCAGAGTTCAGGAAATGTGATGTCTGTTTGTTGGTTGCCGTTCTATGAAAACGCCCAGTGCATTGTGGGTTGTTTGGTACTTTGCCACTGTCTGTTTTAATGACGCACTGTCATGCTTGAAACCGAAACGAGTACCACTTTGCGCACATTACCTGCTTGATCGTATTCTTGATATTCGTTCTCGGACGTTTTCCGAATGGCACGTGTTTTTGAGTTGGACTTGGTTGAGCGGAGATTCTGAGACTGGCATAATCAAGATGAGAATGGCAAAGTAATGTTGTGTCTATTATCAAACACACGCATCTCTATGTTGTAATTCTGTAGTTTTTCCTACCCTAGAATCATTTGTCCTATTTATAATTTCTAAATGACAAATATGAAGTCATTTTTTGGCTGAGAAATGTAAGCCTATCATTTTGATAGTGCTAATTTAGATACCTACAAATATATTCATGGCCAAAAACAGATTAGGAAAGTTATCTCGCTGCTCCACTGTTTTGCTGCTACATGTGTACGACAAATGACAGAAAGAACAAGTAGGGATGGTAATCTGAAATATCTTCAATGTTCCCTAAGTACCTTCCATTGCTCCATGGACTGTTTTTTTTACAGAATCCTGTTATTAGTCAAAGTGCACTTTGAATAGTTGAGTCCTATAGCCGTTTCTAGTATATTGATATTTGAAAGGCCTGATGTTGTTCAAGCACTACATTTTTTTGTTCATCATACTGTATTCCGAAATCTTTTTTATTCCACTCATATGATGTTGCTCATCTTTTGCTTTATGTCCTGCTGCCTTGTGTATTTACAGTATGGATGCTCTAACCTTTATGTTTCTTGAACATGGTTAGGGAAATGGTTAAAATCTAGATGCTAAGTTGCCTTCTTGTCGGCAGACTTGCTAATCATAAAGATGCAGAAAGAGACTACGGCTCCAGCATTGGATGCTGAGAAACTAGAAGTTTCTTCACCAAAGGAAGGAAGTAATTCCACAATTTATGAAGCTCCTACAGGTATAGAAAACTTTGAAATTATTTAGTTTATATTGGCAGAGAAAAAAATACATCTGAGGATATAAGAACCTCACTTACTGCCTAACTTATCAAGAAATCGGAGGAAGGAAAACCTCCATGGCCTGAGGAAAAACAGAGCTCCAAACCAGGACCAAAAACCGAAAACGATGCCAAGGATTATAGAGTACCACAACCACATATCTCCTCCAAGTTCTTGGTGGTCTTCAGTTCCCTCATCCGAACAAGCTGTGCTCAACGGGAAGCCACAAAGCCCCGGATTGTTGCCATAAATTGATTCGTCTACAAATGTCTGCATCTGACTTCCAGTGGGTATGACGCCCCTTAAGAGATTGTTGGACAGATTTAACACGCCAAGCGACTTCAATTTTGAAATGGTAGGAGGGATAGCACCTGAAAGTTCATTCCATGAGAGGTCAAGGGACTCCAATAGCTCCAAACCGCTAATGCTTTCTGGAATACTACCTGACAGATCATTTCTAGACAAGTTCAAGAATAGGAGACCTTGAGGGTATATTAGCTCCTCAGGGATGTTCTCGGTAAGTAGATTGCTTGATAAATCGATACCTGGTATTCTGATTGTTTTCTGGAAAGTTTGTTCACGGCCCTTCCAGAAAATGTTAACTCTGTCTCGGTACTTATCCAGCGGCGATGGGTTATTGGCTAGCACTATCCTCCAAGAAAATGTGGAAATCCGTCTCACTTGGACAAAATCATGCCTTCCAGAAGATTCTACTTTTTTGCTGGAGAAAACTTGTTTTGGTTGTTTCATCATTGATGTTAAGTTGCTGAACGTTCCTGGGATCGATCCAGTAAAGCTATTCTTGGACATGTCAAGTACTTGCAGATTAGAAAGTTTGGACACCTCGGACGGAATGACACCACTGAACTTGTTGGATGCATGGGAGGGTCAGAACTCTTAGAAGAGGAACACTTGTTCCAATACAAGACGGAATATCACCAACAAACATGTTGTCCCCAAGATCTAATGTGATGAGCATACTGCAACAAGTCTCAATGACAGATGGGAATTCTCCGGAGAAGCTATTGTTAGCAAGATGAAGTGATTGGAGAGGAAAGTCATCCAAGCTCGTTGAGGCAGGAAAGTTACCCCACAGACCATTGCTGGACACATCCATAAACACCAGTGCCTTTAATTTCAACCAGCAGGGTGGGAGCTCCCCGGTGAATTGGTTATTTGATAGATCCAGTGATCGGAGAGAGGTCAATCAACACAAGGCTGCAGGGATACTGCCAGACATGAGGTTGTTGTCCATGGATAGAACTGTAAGATTGGTGCACTGCGACCAATGAGGCGACAATTTCCCTCTCAGCTGATTCTTCGAGGCATCCAAGGAATCCAAGATGGGATGGACGCCAAACACCTCTGAGATGTCGCCGGTGAATTGGTTCTGCTCCAGTCTCACATGGTACAAGCCTGCGCAGTTCTTCAGGCATGGCGGCAGGGTGCCGCTGAAGTTGTTGTGGTTTGCCATGAAGTTCTGCAGCGCGAGGCCGTGGCACAGGCTCTGTGGCAGCTCACCGGAGAAGATGTTGTTCCCGAAGGCGGCATCGGTTAAGCTCAACCCCTTCCAAAGGTCCGGTGGTATAGTACCACTGAAGTTGTTATCAAACAGCGTAAGGTATTGGAGATTACCGAGTGATGTGATGGCCGTGGGCAGCTCGCCTTTCAAACGGTTGGTGTTGACGTCCAGTACTTACAGTGTTGTCATGTCGCCTATCTCCGGTGGGATGGCACCAGTGAGCTCATTAAAAAACAGCGCCAGCCGCGTGAGCTGCTTGAGGTTCCCAAGCGAGTGAGGTATTGGCCCTGTGAGCCAGTTCACAGACAGGTCCAATAGACTCAGGTTCACCAACTGGCCAATTTCTACCAGATAAAGCCGGTAAGGTTGTTGCTGAAGAGATGCAAGACTTGTAGTTTGGTTGCCTTGCCGATTTCCATCGAAATATTCCCAGTGAACGAGTTACTCTGCGCTTGGAACCCTATGAGGTCTGGCCAGCTCGTGAACAGAGCGGGTGGGATCTGACCAGCGAGTTTGTTCGACGATATGCCAAACTTCTGCATTTTGTGCATCCCGGCCAACTCTGGTGGTAGTACACCGGTGAGCTGGTTCGTGGACAGGTCCGCAAAACTGAGATTACCAAGGTTGCCCAGCTGCGGTGGAATTGTGGAAACCAACATGGCACTCCTCAGGTCAAGGCGATGTAGCATTTGGAGCCTGCCAAGAACCGGCGGGATCGGACCGCCAAACAGGTTGCCGCCGAGTACAAGAACTCTTAGCTGGGACATCGACCCAAGGAAATCTGGGATGCCTCTAGTCAGATTGTTGGCCGCAATCTGCAGGTCCCGGAGCTTCCTCAGCATCGACAGCGACACTGGTATCCGACCGGAGAATGCATTGGCGGACAAGTTGAGGTACATGAGGCTGGGGAGCTTCTTCAGCAGCGTGTCCGGTAATGGCCTTGAGAAATTGTTCTCCGACAGGTCGAGGTAGGTGACGTTGCCGCTCTTGAGCACGAATTCCGGGAAGCTGTCGGTGAGGTGCTGAGGATCGTAGCAGAAATTTAAAATTTTCTACGCATCACCAAGATCAATCTATAGAGTCATCTAGCAACAAGAGGGACAGGAGTGCATCTACATACCCTTGTAGATCGCGAGCGGAAGCGTTCAAGAGAACGGGGTTGATGGAGTCGTACTCGACGTGATCCAAATCACCGATGATCCTAGCGCCGAACGGACGGAACCTCCACGCTCAACACATGTACGGAGCGGAGATGTCTCCCGCACCTTGATCCAGCAAGGAGGAGGGAGAGGTTGAGGAAGAGAGCTCCAATAGCAGCACGACGGCGTGGTGGTGGTGGAGCGGCAGTACTCCGGCAGGGCTTGCCAAGCTCTTAACGGAGGAGGAGAGGTGTTGGGGAGGGGAGGGGCTGCGCCTTTGATGTGGTATGCAGCCCTCCCCTTGCCCCTCTATTTATAGGGGAAGGAGGAAGGGGGCTGGCCCCCTCTAGATGAGATCTAGAGGGGGGCGGTGGCCAAGGGGGTGGCTTGCCCCTCGAGCAAGGGGGGCGCCCCCTCTAGGGTTCCCCCCCCCCCAACCCTAGGCGCATGGGCCCAAGGGGGGTGCGCCCAGCCCACTTGGGGCTGGTTCCTTTCCTCTACGGCCCATGAGGCCCTCCGAGAGAGGTGGCCCCTCCCGGTGGACCCCCGGAACCCCTCCGGTGGCCCCGGTATAATACCGATATGCCCCCGAACCTTTCCGGTGATCGTATGACAACTTTCTATATATAAATCTTCACCTCTGGACCATTCCGGAACTCCTCGTGACGTCCGGGATCTCATCCGGGACTCCGAACAACATTCGGTAATCACATACAAGTCTTCCTAGAAACCCTAGCGTCATCGAACCTTAAGTGTGTAGACCCTACGGGTTCGGGAACCATGCAGACATGACCAAGACAACTCTCTGGCCAATAACCAACAGCGGAATCTAGATACCCATGTTGGCTCCCACATGTTCCACGATGATCTCATAGGATGAACCACGATGTCGAGGATTCAAGCAATCCCGTATACAATTCCCTTTTGTCCATCGGTACGTTACTTGCCCGAGATTCGATCGTGGGTATCCCAATACCTCGTTCAATCTCATTACCGGCAAGTCACTTTACTCGTTCCATAACACATCATCCTATGACCAACCCTTAGTCACATTGAGCTCATTACGATGATGTCTTACCGAGTGGGCCCAGAGATACCTCTCCGTCGTACGGAGTGACAAATCCAAGTCTCGATTCGTGCCAACCCAACAGACACTTTTGGAGATACCCGTAGTGCATCTTTATAGTCACCCAGTTATGTTGTGACGTTTGGCACACCCAAAGTATTCCTACAGTATCCGGGAGTTGCACAATCTCATGGTCTAAGAAAAAGATACTTGACATTAGAAAAGCTCTAGCAGACGAACTACACGATCTTGCGCTATGATTAGGATTGGGTCTTGTCCATCACATCATTCTCCTAATGATGTGATCCTGTTATCAATGACATCCAATGTCCATGGTCAGGAAACCGTAACCATCTATTGATCAACGAGCCAGTCAACTAGAGGCTCACTAGGGACATGTCGTGGTCTATGTATTCACACATGTATTACGATTTCCAGATAACACAATTATAGCATGAACAATAGACAATTATCATGAACAAGGAAATATAATAATAACCATTTTATTATTGCCTCTAGGGCATATTTCGAACAGTCTCCCGCTTGCACTAGAGTCAGTAATCTAGTTACATTGTGATGAATCGAACACCCATAGAGTTCTGGTGTTGATCATGTTTTGCTCGAGGAAGAGGTTTTGTCAACGTATCTGTGACATTCAGGTTCGTATGCACTTTACAAATATCTATGTCTCCATTTTGAACATTTTCACGAATGGAGTTGAAGCGACGCTTGATATGCCTGGTCTTCCTGTGAAACCTGGGCTCCTTGGCAAGGGCAATAGCTCCAGTGTTATCACAGAAGAGAGTCATCGGGCCCGACGCATTGGGAATAACTCCTAGGTCAGTAATGAACTCCTTTATCCAGATTGCTTCATGTGTTGCCTCCGAGGTTGCCATGTACTCCGCTTCACATGTAGATCCCGCCACGACGCTTTGCTTGCAACTATACCAGCTGACTGCCCCACCATTCAAAATATACACGTATCCGGTTTGTGACTTAGAGTCATCCAGATCTGTGTCGAAGCTAGCATCAACGTAACCCTTTACGACGAGATCTTCGTCACCTCCATAAACGAGAAACATACTCTTAGTCCTCTTCAGGTACTTCAGGATATTCTTGACCGTTGTCCAGTGTTCCATGTCGGGATTACTTTGGTACCTTCCTACCAAACTTACGTCAAGGTTTACATCAGGTCTGGTACACAACATGGCATACATGATAGACCCTATGGCCGAGGCATAGGGGACGACACTCATCTTTTCTCTATCTTCTGTCGTGGTCGGGCATTGAGTCGTGCTCAATCTCATACCTTGCAATACAGGCAAGAAACCCTTCTTGGACTGATCCATATTGAACTTCTTCAATATCTTGTCAAGGTACGTACTTTGTGAAAGACCAATGAGGCGTCTCGATCTATCTCTATAGATCTTGATGCCTAATATATAAGCACCTTCTCCAAGGTCCTTCATTGAAAAACACTTGTTCAAGTAGGCCTTTATGCTTTCCAAGAATTCTATATCATTTCCCATCAATAGTATGTCATCCACATATAATATGAGAAACGCTACAGAGCTCCCACTCACTTTCTTGTAAACACAGGCTTCTCCATAAGTCTGCGTAAACCCAAACGCTTTGATCATCTCATCAAATCGAATGTTCCAACTCCGAGATGCTTGCACCAGCCCATAGATTGAGCGTTCGAGCTTGCACACCTTGTCAGCATTTTTAGGATCGACAAAACCTTCCGGCTGCATCATATACAATTCTTCCTTAAGGAAACCATTAAGGAATGTCGTTTTGACGTCCATTTGCCATATCTCATAATCATAGAATGCGGCAATTGCTAACATGATTCGGACGGACTTCAGCTTCGCTACGGGTGAGAAAGTCTCATCGTAGTCAACCCCTTGAACTTGTCGATAACCCTTAGCGACAAGCCGAGCCTTATAGATGGTCACATTACCATCCGCGTCTGTCTTCTTCTTAAAGATCCATTTATTTTCTATGGCTCGCCGATCATCGGGCAAGTCAGTCAAAGTCCATACTTCGTTTTCATACATGGATCCTATCTCGGATTTCATGGCTTCCAGCCATTTGTCGGAATCTGGGCCTGCCATTGCTTCTTCATAGTTCGAAGGTTCACCATTGTCTAACAACATGATTTCCAGGACAGGGTTGCTGTACCACGCTGGTGCGGAACGTGTCCTTGTGGACCTACGAAGTTCAGTAGCAACTTGATCTGAAGTTTCATGATCATCATCATTAACTTCCTCTCTAGTTGGTGCACGCACCTCAGAAACATTTTCTTGAGCTGCGCCACTCTCCGGTTCAAGAGGCAATACTTCATCAAGTTCTACTTTCCTCCCACTTACTTCTTTCGAGAGAAACTCTTTCTCTAGAAAGGATCCATTCTTGGCAACAAAGATCTTGCCTTCGGATCTGAGGTAGAAGGTATACCCAATAGTTTCTTTAGGGTATCCTATGAAGACGCATTTTTCCGATTTGGGTTCGAGCTTTTCAGGTTGAAATTTCTTGACATAAGCATCGCATCCCCAAACTTTCAGAAACGACAGCTTAGGTTTCTTACCAAACCACAATTCATACGGTGTCGTCTCAACGGATTTCGACGGAGCCCTATTTAAAGTGAATGCGGCAGTCTCTATAGCATAACCCCAAAATGATAGCGGTAGATCAGTAAGAGACATCATAGATCGCACCATATCCAATAGGGTGCGATTACGACGTTCGGACACACTATTACGCTGTGGTGTTCCAGGCGGCATGAGTTGTGAAACTATTCCACATTTCCTTAAGTGTGTGCCAAATTTGTGACTCGAATATTCTCCCCCACGATCTGATCGTAAGAACTTGATTTTTCTGTCACATTGATTCTCAACCTTACTCTGAAATTCCTTGAACTTTTCAAAGGTCTTAGACTTGTGTTTCATTAAGTAGACATACCCATATCTACTCAAGTCATCAGTGAGGGTGAGAACATAACGATAGCCACCGCGAGCCTCTACACTCATTGGACCGCACACATCAGTATGTATGATTTCCAATAAGTTGGTTGCTCGCTCCATTGTTCCGGAGAATGGAGTCTTGGTCATTTTGCCCATGAGGCATGGTTCGCACGTGTCAAATGATTCATAATCAAGAGACTCCAAAAGTCCATCTGCATGGAGTTTCTTCATGCGTTTGACACCAATGTGACCAAGGCGGCACTGCCACAAGTATGTGGGACTATCATTATCAACCTTACACCTTTTGGCATTCACACTATGAATATGTGTAACATCACGTTCGAGATTAAATAAGAATAAACCATTGACCAGCGGGGCATGACCATAAAACATGTCTCTCATATAAATAGAACAACCATTATTCTCATATTTAAATGAGTAGCCATCTCGCATTAAACGAGATCCAGATACAATGTTCATGCTCAAAGCTGGTACGAAATAACAATTATTGAGGTTTAAAACTAATCTCGTAGGTAAATGTAGAGGTAGCATGCCGACGGCAATCACATCGACCTTGGAACCATTCCCGACGCGCATCGTCACCTCGTCCTTTGCCAGTCTCCGTTTATTCCGCAGTTCCTGTTTTGAGTTACAAATATAAGCAACTGCACCGGTATCAAATACCCAGGAGCTACTACGGGCGCTGGTTAGGTACACATCAATAACATGTATATCACATATACCTTTGGTATTGCCGGCCTTCTTATCCGCTAAGTACTTGGGGCAGTTCCGCTTCCAGTGACCGTTTCCCTTGCAATAAAAGCACTCAGTCTCAGGCTTGGGTCCAATCTTTAGCTTCTTCCCAGCAGCTTTCTTACCGGGCGCGGCAACTCCCTTGCCGTCCTTCCTGAAGTTCTTTTTACCCTTGCCTTTCTTGAACTTAGTGGTTTTATTCACCATCAACACTTGATGTTCCTTTTTGATTTCCACCTCCGCTGATTTCAGCATTGAATATACCTCGGGAATGGTCTTTTCCATCCCCTGCATATTGAAGTTCATCACGAAGCTCTTGTAGCTAGGTGGGAGCGACTGAAGGATTCTGTCAACGACCACATCATCCGGGAGATTAACTCCCAGCTGAGACAAGCGGTTGTGCAACCCAGACATTTTGAGTATGTGCTCGCTGACGGAACTATTCTCCTCCATCTTACAACGGTAGAACTTGTCGGAGCTTCATATCTCTCGACCCGGGCATGAGCTTGGAAAACCATTTTCAGCTCTTGGAACATCGCATATGCTCCGTGTTGCTCAAAACGCTTTTGAAGCCCCGGTTCTAAGCTGTAAAGCATGCCGCACTGAACCAGGGAGTAATCATCACTACGCGTCTGTCAAGCGTTCATAACGTCTTGTTCTGCAGGGAAAACAGGTGCTTCACCTAGCGGTGCATCAAGGACATATGCTTTCCTGGCAACTATGAGGATAATCCTCAGGTTACGGACCCAGTCCGTGTAGTTGCTGCCATCGTCTTTCAGCTTGGTTTGCTCTAGGAATGCGTTGAAGTTGAGGGCAACATTAGCGTGGGCCATCTGATCTAAAAGACATATTGCAAAGATTTTTAGACTATGTTCATGATAATTAAGTTCATCTAATCAAATTATTTAATGAACTCCCACTCAGATAGACATCCCTCTAGTAATTTGAGTGATACATGATCCGAGTCAACTAGGTCGTGTCCGATCATCACGTGAGACGGACTAGTCATCATCGGTGAACATTTTCATGTTGATCGTATCTTCTATACGACTCATGTTCGACCTTTCGGTCTTCCGTGTTCCGAGGCCATGTCTGTACATGCTAGGCTCATCAAGTCAACCTAAGTGTATTGTGTGTGTAAACCTGGCTTACACCCGTTGTATGCGAATGTTAGAACCTATCACACCCGATCGTCACGTGGTGCTTCGGAACAACGGACCTTAGCAACGGTGCATAGTTAGGGGGAACACTTTCTTGAAATTATTGCAAGGGATCATCTTATTTATGCTACCGTCGTTCTAAGCAAATAAGATGTAAAACATGATAAACATCACATGCAATCAAATAGTGACATGATATGGCCAATATCATTTTGCTCCTTTTGATCTCCATCTTCGGGGCGCCAGGATCATCATCGTCACCGGCATGAAACCATGACCTCCTTCATCATGATCTCCATCATCGTGTCTTCATGAAGTTGTCTCTCCAACTATTACTTCTACTACTATGGCTAACAGTTAGCGATAAAGTAAAGTAATTACATGACGTTTATGTTGACACGCAGGTCATAAATAAATCAAGACAACTCCTATGGCTCCTGCTGGTTGTCATACTCATCGACATGCAAGTCGTGATTCCTATTACAAGAACATGATCAATCTCATACATCACATATATCATTCAACACATCCTTTTGGCCATATCACATCACACGGCATATGCTGCAAAAACAATTTAGACGTCCTCTAATTGTTGTTGCAAGTTTTACGTGGCTGCTATAGGTTTCTAGTAAGAACGTTTCTTACCTACGCCAAAACCACAATGTGATATGCCAATTTCTATTTACCCTTCATAAGGACCCTTTTCATCGAATCTGATCCGACTAAAGTGGGAGAGACAGACACCCGCTAGCCACCTTATGCAACTAGTGCATGTCAGTCGGTGGAACCAGTCTCACATAAGCGTACGTGTAAGGTCGGTCCGAGCCGCTTCATCCCACGATGCCGTCGAATCAAGATAAGACTAGTAACGACAAGTAAATTGACAAAATCGACGCCCACAACAACTTGTGTTCTACTCGTGCATAGAAACTACGCATACACCTAGCTCATGATGCCACTGTTGGGGATCGTAGAAGAAATTTAAAATTTCCTACGCATCACAAGATCAATCTATGGAGTCATCTAGCAATGATAGGGAGAGGAGTGCATCTACATACCCTTGTAGATCGTGAGCAGAAGCGTTCAAGAGAACGGGGATGATGGAGTTGTACTCGACGTGATCCAAATCACCGATGATCCTAGCGCCGAACGGACGGCACCTCCGCGTTCAACACATGTACGGAGCGGAGACGTCTCCCGCGCCTTTATCCAGCAAGGAGGAGGGAGAGGTTGAGGAAGAGAGCTCCAATAGCAGCACGACGGCGTGGTGGTGGTGGAGCGGCAGTACTCCGGCAGGGCTTCGCCAAGCTCTTAACGGAGGAGGAGAGGTGTTGGGGAGGGGAGGGGCTGCGCCTTTGATGTGGTATGCATCCCTCCCTTTGCCCCTCTATTTATAGGGGAAGGAGGAAGGGGGCCGCCCCCTCTAGATGAGATCTAGAGGGGGGGCGGCGACCAAGGGGGTGGCTTTCCCCCCAAGCAAGGGGGCGCCCCCTCTAGGGTTTCCCCCCCAACCCTAGGCGCATGGGCCCAAGGGGGGTGCGCCCAGCCCACTTGGGGCTGGTTCCCTTTCCTCTACGGCCCATGAGGCCCTCCGAGAGAGGTGGCCCCTCCCGGTGGACCCCCGGAACCCCTCCGGTGGCCCCGGTATAATACTGATATGCCCCCGAACCTTTCCGGTGACCGTATGACAACTTTCTATATATAAATCTTCACCTCCGGACCATTTCGGAACTCCTCGTGACGTCCGGGATCTCATCCGGGACTCCGAACAACATTCGGTAATCACATACAAGTCTTCCTAATAACCCTAGCGTCATCAAACCTTAAGTGTGTAGACCCTACGGGTTCGGGAACCATGCAGACATGACCGAGACAACTCTCCGGCCAATAACCAACAGCGGGATCTGGATACCCATGTTGGCTCCCACATGTTCCACGATGATCTCATCGGATGAACCACGATGTCGAGGATTCAAGCAATCCCGTATACAATTCCCTTTGTCAATCGGTACGTTACTTGCCCGAGATTCGATCGTCGGTATCTCAATACCTCGTTCAATCTCGTTACCGGCAAGTCACTTTACTCATTCCATAACACATCATCCCGTGACCAACCCTTAGTCACATTGAGCTCATTACGATGATGTCTTACCGAGTGGGCCCAGAGATACCTCTCTGTCATACGGAGTGACAAATCCAAGTCTCGATTCGTGCCAACCCAACAGACACTTTCGGAGATACCCGTAGTGCACCTTTATAGTCACTCAGTTACGTTGTGACGTTTGGCACACCCAAAGTATTCCTACAGTATCCGGGAGTTGCACAATCTCATGGTCTAAGGAAAAGATACTTGACATTAGAAAAGCTCTAGCAGACGAACTACACGATCTTGCGCTATGCTTAGGATTGGGTCTTGTCCATCACATCATTCTCCTAATGATGTGATCCCGTTATCAATGACATCCAATGTCCATGGTCAGGAAACCGTAACCATCTATTGATCAACGAGCCAGTCAACTAGAGGCTCACTAGGGACATGTTGTGGTCTATGTATTCACACATGTATTACGATTTCTGGATAACACAATTATAGCATGAACAATAGAAAATTATCATGAACAAGGAAATATAATAATAACCATTTTAGTATTGCCTCTAGGGCATATTTCCAACATGAGGTAGTTGAGGTAGAGCGACATGAAGTTGACGGTGGGCATCGGCGAGAACCTGCTGTAGTCCGGGCCGGTGAGGAAATTGGAGCCCAGGTCGAAATGCCATAACATATAATAGAACACCTGCACCCAGGTCCTCCCTATCTAGCCATCCATTCTGTGCATCGCGATTCGTGCAAACACATTTCTCTTTTTTGTTTCTCTCGCATAAAACATGTTTTGAAGTTCAAACCTTTGCAGCGTTGCAAAGTTTTCTATCTAGAATTTAGGATAAATGTTTCAGATTTTTTGGTCAAATATAAATATATAAATTATGATTTTCTACATTAAAAAACATATTTTGTATATTTATGTTTGATAAAAAATTCTGAAAGATTTATCCTAGATTCTAGATAGAAAGCTTTGTCGCGCTGCAAAGGTTTGAACTTCAAGACATGTTCTATGTGAGAGAAGCAAAAAAGAGAAAATTTCATATAGGAAGCCAGTTGTGTTGCACATATCTTAAAGCAATATTGGACAGCCAGGATAGCAGGACCCGGGTGCAGATGTTCTAAAAATCCACGTCCGGTCGAAATGCTTGACCCTGGGGAGCCTGCTGAGCTGGTGGGGGATGGCATCGGCGAGGTTGTTGTTGTAGAGCCGGAGGTCCATGAGGCCGGAGAGGTCGCCGAGCTGCGGCGGGATGGAGCCGTCGAACCCGTTGCTGCCGAGGTCGAGCGTGGCCAGGGAGCGGAGGCACGAGAGGCTCGCCGGGATGGCGCCAAAGAGGTTGTTGTCGTTGAGGTCGAGCGTGGCCAGATCCGGGAGGGCCGTGAAGTCAAGCTTGTCGAGCGTGCCGGCGAGGCCGAGGCCCACGAGCCTGAGCGAAAGGACGTGTCCGGCAGCGCCGCAGGACACCCCGAGCCAGGAGCAGGCCGGCGCGGCCTCGGTCCAGCTGGACAGGACGGTTGTGTCATGTGCACCTACACCCGAGTGCCACACGTCCGCGCCCAAAGAAACCAAACCAAAAAACCGTAGGAAACTGGATAAGCAAATAGAACAGGAAAAAACTAAAGAAAAAGCAGAAATTAGAAGAAAAAAATAAGAAAAAGACCATGCAAAAGGCAAATACCGATGAGAAAAACCAGAGAAAATTGGTTGAAAACCGATAAACCAGCCGAGGACGTGTATCCTTGTGCTTTTGGGCAACTGTATGACACAATAAAGGCTGTATAGAATTTTTAGAGAGAAGGCATCAGCCCGACTTTATAAATAAAGCCACCAGGCAGTGTTCACCACAAGACAGACAACCGGACATAAGAGTAGCAACAACACAAAGAGTACTGCAAGGCAAGAAGTACATGGCACTCAGGCCAACAACCGGCATGCAAGCAGAGAGATTAAGACAGAGCACGACAAAAGGGACCACCAAGTTCCTGTAGCCGCCTAACTGATGCTGCGAAAGTGAAGTAGCAGTGGCTCGAATCTTGACAGTCATCAAGTCAAAAGCCTCACGGTCGGCCTCCTTAGTCAATAATCTCCACTGCTGCAGGAATAGGCAGGTTTTAAATAAGCAATCGGCAGGTTTAGCATGAAAAATATGCTTGATAGTGAACTTGTTCCTAATAGTCCACAACGCCCAGCAAATAGCCGGGAATCCCACCTAGAACAATCGTTTAAAGGCCCCAACTAGACCAGAAGCAAGGTTCCTGAGGTCGGAGAAGGAGGAAGGATTCCAAGTCACGTGGAGCCAGGACCTGATACAACACTAGACGAGCTTTGCCAAAGCACATTTGAAAAAGATGTGATCCGTGTCCTCCATCTCACCACACAGCGCACACCTGCCGGACCCAGGTCCATTACGTTTACGAATTTGATCAGCCGTAGACAACCGCCCTCTATAGGCTTGCCACAGAAATATCTTGACCATAGGAGGAATATGGGCCCGCCAAATCAGCTTGAACTTGCTAGTAGGAGTGCCAGAAATAAGCTTAGCGTATAGAGACTTAACAGAAAAATGTTCGGAGGCAGAGTGGGGCCAAACCACCGAGTCCTCCCCCTCCGAGAGCACAGGGATGCAGGCAACAAGATGCTGCCAGTCATCCAACTCTTCAGGAGAGAGAGAGAGCGACGAAGGGCCAAGTCCCAATTATTACCAGAGAACTCAGAGATAGAGATCTCCAGATCCGGGCAATAGGAGAAAAGAACCGGAAAGGAAACCGCTAGGGGGAAGGTACCGCACCACCAATCAAGCCAAGAGCGAGTGGACTTACCATTCCCAACCACAAATTTAACAAGAGATTTAAACACCGGCCGGACTTTGACAAGGTCTTTCCAAAATTGAGTCCACCCGATGAGGAGGCAAACATAGGACTAGAGTTAGGGTAGTATTTGGCCTTAAGAATATTGAGCCAGAGCGGGTTCTTCGAGATAGTCATGATCTTCCACCATCATTTGATGATAAGGCACTTGTTCATAGTCACAGTATCGATAATGCCCAACCTCCCAAGGTTCTTGGGTCTGACATGTGTTTCCATTTAACCAGCCTATATTTGTGTTTATTATCCACCACATTCCAATAGAACGCACCCCTGTGCTTATCAAACCCCGCGTGCGTACCAGCAGAGAGAAGGTAAAAGCACATCAAGAACATGGGGAGGGACAAGAGGCAAGCATTAATAAGGGCAACCTTGCTATCTTGGGTATTATATCTGCCCCTCCAAGGCATAACTCGATTGCCCACTTTAGTTACCGTAGGAGCGAAGTCTCTAGCAAGAAGTTTCTCCTGAGAGATAGGGAGGCCAAGATATTTGAGAGGAAAGGAGCCCAAAGAACAGTTAAGCAGATGAGAGACCCGCAGGGCCTCGGCTTCCGACACCCCTGTCACAATAACTTCGCTCTTAGCAAAGTTGATCTTAAGCCCTGACAGGGCTTCAAAGCAGAGCAGCAAAAACTTAAGGTGAGCGATACACTCATTGTTGAGTTCGACCATGATAATCGTGCCATCTGCGCATTGAAGGTGAGTGATCCCCTCAGGAACAAAGTGAGAGCTAACGGGGGGAATGTGCCCGGCCGCGGCAGCCCTCGACGGGATATTGGATAAGTCATCTGCGATGAAATTAAACAGAAGAGGGGAAGCCAGGTCTCCTTGCCTGAGCCCCCTACCGTTGTTGAAAAAATTACTAACCCTGCCATTAACCGAGACCGCAGTGTGACCGCCCGTCACCAACTACATAATCCTGTGCACGTATGCCCCATCAAACCCTTTTGCCAGCAGGACCTGCCGCAAAAAAATTCAACTAACCAAATCGTAGGCCTTCTCAAAGTCAATCTTAAGGATCACCGCCTTGGTGCCTCTCATACGGAGGGGAGGAGGAGAGATCTATCTATATTCTGTATAGGATTCACCATGGACATGTGATAAAAGTGACCCAACAAAAATAAATAAAGTGAGAAGACTTGGCTTCAGCTTGGCAAGAGAGGCCTACCCCTGTATGGCAAAGGAAAACTTTGTAGTTGATCCGGACATGGCAAGATGGCGTTTCAGTTCTTCCGGTTACAGTGTCAAGTCCCAGCCTCCCCAGGCTTCAGTAACAAGCGACGCGGAGGAGCTCGGATGGCTTGTGCTCCATGCGTCTGATCTCTGATGTCTTGCAGCAGCAGTTACTTTTGTGTTTGCCTGCAGATTAAACCTACCAACCATGTGCGGTCCAAGCCAGCTTGTCCCATACACATCCAGTAGGCTTTTCCAAGGGTGTGACCCTGGAAACAGAGTTCATTCCGACAATTCCAAAAGCACCATAAGGTTGCAGAGGTTAACATATTTAACATTCACCATACTTCCTTCGTTCCTAAATATAAGTGATTTTAGACATTTCAAATGGACTACAACATACAGATGTATGTAGGGCATATTTTAGAGTATAGATTCATTCATTTTGCTCCGTATGTATTCACTTGTTGGAATCTCTAAAATGACTTACATTTGAGAACGGAGGGCGTACTTTTAAGGACCAACTCAACATTTATAGCTACAGATTCATACTCATGGCCCACATTCATTGGTAAAATGATGATTAGATCTTCACCGAACCTCTGAATTTTGTGGGTTTTGTCGTATATATGTATCGAACTAAAAGCTTGGTTGGAATTATAGACGACTTTTTTTCCTTGTCCTACAAGGTCTTCAGATTTTCTTTCATATCTCTAAATTAGAACCACAACACTTGTTTTGGATCGGAGGGAGTACTTTTCATATGACAGTCCCACTTTCTAGCATTTGTTCCAGCAAATCAGTCAAAGTTATCAAATCGCTGCATTCCAGTGCCTAAGAAATAAGAAATAAACGGTGCAAGATCAAATAACACAACTAAAGTTCAAATATGAAAAAGAGTGCTTTACATCCGCACTTGTTCATTTCTTTCCTGGTTAAGTCCTTGATGTAATTACTGCCCGGTTGTTGACTTATAATTCTGAGCCGTTCGCACATTCGACCAGGTCACCTTCACTGAGATAGAGGCAAGCTCAAGCATGATTTGTTGACAATCGTACCCATGTTTTTTTGCTTTGAAGGAACAATGGCGATCAAGATCACCATCATTTTTACAACTTCTCTGACCTACCTTGAACTTCAAATGCATCCAAGTATCCTCCTTTACAGCAATCACATGTCTTCTTAAGCCACACGACTCACCAATACTGCCATGAAAGAGCTTAATCTCATGTAACCCATCGATAATAAAAACAAACGAACTGAGAGATAAATCGAATCTACTCTGCACTTTTGATACGGTAACATCTATTGTGGCCTCAAATGCCCAACGAACGAGGGCTAAAGTAATGTCAACCGTGCCGCAATCGCCATTAATACGATCTGTGAATGGGTATTCAGATGTGCATAGATTGCCGTACTCTATTGCACCATCAATTAGTTGTAGATCATCCTCTTCTTGCTCTCCTTTCTTGATCCTCATGTCAAACTCAACTAGAACAGGGGCTAGCGTTGCGATGTATCGCTTAGGGCCAGTCATCCCAATAACAGAACCTGCAAAACTATTATTATTTAGTAGCTCCTCATGTAAAGTAAGAAATGTCACTTTTCTTTCTAGCCAAACAACAGATCTAAGATAAATGATAGCATAAAATCTAAACCCTCGAAAACAAAACAATTTGAGATATTTTGTCAACAAATATAATTCAGTTGCATATATAACACAACTAAATCATGCCAAGATAATTAACCACAAACTTGCCTAATATATGCAAGGTCAACCCCATCATTATATAACATGCATTTGCATAAACGAATCCATACACTGATACAAATGAGATCATCAAAGTACAGCCACCTCAAATGTTTGACCTGTTTGATTGCAGGATTCCCAAAATGTGGTAACACCAAAGCACAAATTACAGTGTTGTGCCATCTTCAGTATAAGAGGACTGAAAGAATGTTTGATTGTGGACAGGAAAGGCATAATTTTTTTTCCTAAAATGTTGGAGTGGATAGATTTTTAATGAATTATAGTGCAAATGAATCCTAAGAGAGAGAAAAATCCTATAATTTGCAACCCTGAGGTAGGAAGAATTTTCGCTCGGACTAGAATCCTTCAAAAACCTATTGGAAATCCTTCCTATCAAAGAGGCCCTATAAAAGTGAAGAATACTGTTTCACTTATGACAACAAGAGAGAAGGGTATTTGTAGTTTATGTGCTAACAAATTTAGTGTGTTTGGATAATTCATGGTATGAACCCTCATATGCATTGAAGGAAAGAAAATAAATTATTGTACTAAGTAATTGCCTTACATGAAGTAAGCTTCCAGAATTATGCCGGTTGATTTTACTTTAAAAACCTATAACTCACTGATAGATCACTCAAATAAATTATAATCCATAAGCAGCACGAATGTCAATCATGTCTACTTTAGGTAAAGGTAACGGAAGTGAGGGTTCGACAGCAAGTAAAATCCTCTTGATCTTCCTTGGCTGGCCAATGGGACCGAACCTTAGTGTTCTCGAGAAGTTGATGAGTTATAGCTACAGAGACCGTAGGACAAGACGGAGACATGTGTGTCCAAGTCTGCGTCAACCGTCAAGGAGAGAGCGCTAACACAGGCTCTACATTTTGTTGGGACAGATATGGATGAAAAGTGTGTAAGACATTAAGACAGTATGCCATGCCATGCTGGCAATGTAGTAGGGGCGTGCTGAGGATCTGCAAGCACGACGCGTTCGGTGCGAACAAGCGGATGTGGTCGCACACGTGCCATGTTGTCTGCCGACTAGGTGGCAAGGTATGCAGCCAATGCGGTACGCGGTAATGTTGGGCAGTGAAAAAGAGTAGAAACGTTGCTTGGTGCAGCCTTAATCATACTCATAGGCAGAGGGATCGACAAAACAGTCAGCATAAGGATGAGGTTAGCAACACCTACGAGACGACTTGAGATGGGAATGTGTGTGGGTCCATCAAAGAGACTACCGTTCAACGAATGAACTTAGGTCTACTTTTATTCAACCTGGCAATGGCCTATTTTTAAAAAGAAACCCGTGGGCTAATTTTGAACCAATCCACTTAAAGGGCAAGACTAGTCGAGGTTAATCAGCAACTAGTCCATTAGTCGCTTGATGTGCCAACCAGTCGAGTCAAGATATCAAGTCAACAACCAAACTTATGACCACTAGTCTTTGACTCTTAAACACCAATTACATGGTTATAGTATGACATACAAATATTTATATCTCAATCAGTTAGCTTTATGCATAAAACACCGAGATTGAGCTTTATTATTAAATGAATCCAATACTAAATATAATTGCATATATGTAAAGATGTGCACCTGTTCAACAATGATGGGATCATCTCTGCTACTATTGACAACATAATTAAGCAACGAATCATGATAATCCCGCACTGCTATATATCCATATAGCTGTACCAACCCGACGTTGGTACTAGTTTTAGCCAATTTTAATGAGAAAATCTGCATCATATGAGTTGCATAATGTATATCACATTTTTCCCGATTCGGGGAGCAATTCATGGGCTGCGAGGACATCATTGGCTCGAGTTGTGCTTCATGAAAAAATTACGAATATTTTATTTCAACAAATAATGAATTAGACAATATTTCTCACGAGAAGTAGAATTATAATTATGATTTGCCAACACATATTTGTGTTAATTTAGGGAAAATAATAAAAATAAGCATAGTGACTTTCAGCTTCATGAGTCAGAGCTTGTTGGTTTATGAGTAAAACTGACACATATTTATGTAACTAAAAATAGTGTTGATTTGTTCAAAAGAACTAGTGTTAAGACCTTAACCATGCATGATATATAAACAAATTAATATCTAGAAATTTTATATAAGACATTCAACCTGTAAATACTTTTTTGCTAATTCATATATTCTCTATAACAATCTATATATATATATTGCAATTTTTTTAAACACGATAATGCATTTTTAATCGATCAACCAAACCATGTTATAGATTATGATAGGGAAGAGATTATGATGACTTACTCTCATCACGTCGGGTAAGTGGCCATAAACCTAGAAAACCAGAGTGTTTCTTGTATATAGAACCGTCCCGGTGGGTGGTGTTGTTAAGGATGTGGGCTGTATATACACGAGAAGAGGTCCGCCCCTTCATCTCTGCTCTATCCATGGCTTCGGCAATGGCAGATTGGTCGCCATTGGCGTAGGTGGAGGTGCAGAAATAGTTACTGCAACAAGGGGGGCAGCAGAGCCAATTCGACTTGCCCCATGTATTCTCGCCTTTTACTGCAATGTTCCTTGCCATGACGACCATGGATGCATAAGCAGATCTGCACCGAAAGAGCAATATTAGAACCCGGTCAGTAATCCATGTCAGTCTCAATCCAGAGCCAAGAGATCTCCAGCAGCATGGTTAATTTACTTATTTCCGATTTAATTAAGGAGCTCAGCCCCCGATTTCAACCAGGCATTTAACAATCCAGGAACTCGTACGAAGAGCAGACCGGCCGGCTAACATACATACATACTACATACACCCACCCAACCCAAAGATCACAAACAAACTACATACATCAATGATTGACACTCATTAAAAAGACAGAAGAAGAAGAAGAAGCAGCACATGCTCTCTGTGTGTTAGACCAGCAGCATGCATTGCAGGGTTCTGAGGAGAAGAAAGAATCTACACAAGGCCAGGACGCACCGTGAAACGCGGTCCAGATGGGGCATCCCGTAGCGAAAGTTCCGGACGCCCGGAGAGGGGGGCACCATATCCAAATCGGGGGACGAGGCGCAGCGACTGGGCGAACCCTAGATTGGATGGTGTGGGCGGAAAATTAGGGTTCACAAGATTTGGGGATCTCTCGCTATGTGACGACTGAACGCCCGGGACGAGGAGATCGGGCGCACGGCGAGAGGAGCAAGGTAGGTCACGTAGGTGAAACAGGGGATGAGAAGCAATTAGGCCAACTCCAACGGGAGACATAAATCTTGTGTGAGTTTGTTCGTTTGGGTCGGCAAAATGGGAGCAAATTGATAATATAACATACTTTCCCTGGCACGCAATTAGGCCAACTCCAACGGGAGACATAAATCTTGTGTGAGTTTGTCCGTTTGGGTCGGCAAAATGGGAGCAAATTGATAATATGACATACTTTTCCTAGCACTTTGATCTGATGACACACCTTTCTTTTAGATTGATTAGATGACCCAGATTTGATTGATAGCTGGATTAAATGACATAACCTGAGTTTTTCTCTCCTTTTCTAGGTATAGGGCCCCACGTCATATTTTTGTAGGACAATTTTGCCCCTGGTCGTTTCACCTGCCTGGCTTCGATCCCTTGTTCGATCGATCGTTCCTGGAAGTGCAAACGAAACGAGGCACAGAAGAGACCCGCTGCGCCGCCGCTCCCGCTTCCTCCTGCCCGCGCCGCCAGTGCCCAGCATCGCCCCGCCGCTCCTGCTTCCTCCCACCGCGCCGCCAGTGCCCAGCACTGCCCCGTCGTGCCTCTTCCCCGAGTGCTGCCAGTTCCCCGCTCCTGTCCGTTTTTCTCATCCGGCAACGCTCCAGCCGTTCCGCCCTATCGACGCCTCGTCCATCGACTCACAGGTGGAATCGCATCTCTCTCTCTCCCTCCTTCTCCCTCTCCCTCGCTGTCTAACTGTCTCAGCCAGGAAGTTGAGGCATACACGAACCCTAGACATGGAGATTATGGTGGAGGAGAGATAGTGGGAAGGCTTCACGACGAGTAGAACCCACTGATTGTGGTGATGGAGCCAGATGTCGCAGCTCCGGATGGGTTAGTAGCTTCTAAATTGGATCATTGTCTGATTTTTTTATCGGAAGTTTATGAAAAGTTAGGCCTAATCATTGATTTTGTTTGAAAATTTATGTAATTTTGTAGGGAAGAAGGTGCAGGGCTGCGCGTTGTCATTTATAAACTAATTGTTAGAGTTCTTCGATTTGTCGCAAAGCTTGATGATGGCAGCGAGCGCCAAGTTGCCGAACATGATGTGGAGTTTGAGGTTAACATGAAACATTTTACGGTTGAAAAATTGATAGAACTCATTAGATCTAAAATTATATGGGGGGTTGGTCAAGAGGTCCATATTTTGTGTCAAGATAAGCACTTTGAATCAGTTGAGAGGATTGATAGCTATTGGAAGTTGTTGACAACATATCTTGAGAGATGGGAAGAGAAAGAATTGCTTGTGCTTGCTCAAGTTGTGGACAATGCAAAGGGGGTTACAACATCATCTTGTTCTGGAAATATCCCATCTAGTGATATAGTGGACAATATCATTAGTTAAAGTTCCGATGTTTATCACTCAAATGCTAGCAGTGCACCATGTATCAGTGATTCCGCAACTTGTAATTTGCTTCCTAGTAATCAGAGATATGTGCAATCTGATGATGAAGTTGTCATTGATTGGTCCACTTTTGAGATAACTCCTGTTGGTGATGATGTAATAGCACCTATGTCCGAGGAAAACATGTGTGCGGTTCTTGGAATTGAGGATGAGGCCGAGGATGCTCAACAACGAAATGAGCCAGCTCCAGTTGTTGTGTGCCATGTTAGTGAGGAATTAATGGCTGAGGGAGCCATACCAGTAGATGACCAAGTTCCTAAAGACATAGAAATTTTATATGACAAAGATCATCCAAAAGTTGAGAAAGGTTCGATCTTTCCAACAATGATAGATTGTAGGAGGGCTGTGAGACAATGGGCAATTAATGAAGAATTCAACCTTGGAACTTATAAAGCTAACAAGAGTAGGTGGATGGCACATTGTATGGCTGAAGATTGTCCATGAAAAATAACATGTCGTTTGATGGCTGATAAGACAAAGACCAGGGTACTAACATAGCTTAAATAACTTCGTTTTTTCTGTTATGTTCTATTATGGTAGCATCCTATTATTGTAGGTACTAACAACTTTGTCATGTATGCAGGTTAACCAAATAGGACCATCGCACACATATGTTTCAAGTAGCAGGCTAACTTCGGCAATGGCCTCGCAGGATTGGGTTCAAGAAAGGTCTAAGAAAATATTGAGGAAAACTCCAAATATAGGTTGCAAGGATTTACAAGACACGTTGGAGGAAGACTGGAATGTAACCACTAGCTATGACACTGTATGGAAGGGGATGCAGAGAGCAAAGGATGAGATATATGGTTCGTGGGGTAGTAGCTTCTGGTACCTATTCAATTTCAAAGCAGAGATAGAACTGAGATCTCCTAGAACCATTGTTGAGGTCGACACTAAACTAAAGGACGGTAATGTTTACTTTCATAGATTCTTTATGGCACTTAAGCCTTGTGTCGATGGGTTCCATGCTGGATGTAGGCCTTTTCTTAGCATAGACTCAACTGCATTGAATGGGAAGTGGAATGGTCATTTAGCTGCATGTACCGCTTTAGATGGACATAATTGGATGTCTCCTCTTGCATTTGGTTTTATCGAGGTTGAGGATGACGATAATTGGACATGGTTCATGACACAGTTGCATAGAGCACTAGGGCCAATTCCAAAGCTTGCTATAAGTACCGATGCATGTAAATGTTTAGAAAATGCAGTTAAGAAAGTTTTCCCTCAAGCAGAACAAAGGGAGTGTTTTAGGCATTTGATGCAGAATTTTTCCAAAAGATACCGCGGTGACATAATTGGTCGTGTGTGGGCTGCTGGAAAGACATATAGACCTTCAATGTTTGAGTATCACTTCTCTAAGGTTCTAGAATCAAGTCCAAGTAAGTACTTACATGATTACCACAACTTGAAGTGGATGAGGTCTAGTTTTGACACCGAAATCAAGTGTGATTACATTCATAACAACCTTGCCGAGTCCTTCAATAATTGGATAAGAGGAATCAAAGATCTTCCTGTAGATGGGCTAGCTGACACACTTAATGGAAAGATAATGAAATTAATTGAAAAAAGAAGAAAGATTGGGGAAAAGCTACATGGAGAAATGTTGCCAGCAGTTGTACAACAAGTGAATAATAGAACAAGAGGGCTTGGGCACTTGAAAGTAACTAGAGCAAGTAACTGGAAAGGTGAGGTCAGGGACATCAATAAAGATAATCTGAGGCATGTGGTTAACATAGAGCAAAGTGAGTGCACGTGCCTAGAGTGGCAGCACACAGGTAAACCTTGTGAACATGCACTTGTTTTCTTGATTGGAAAAAGGAACGTGAAGATGGAAAATTATCTCCATGAGTACTACTCTGTACAAAGGTTTAGGGCAGCTTATAGGGGGGTCGTTGAGCCTCTCACAGATAGATCACAGTGGCCTAATGTTGAACTAGACTTTGTATTGCATGCACCGCTCCCCAAAAGTTCAAAAGGAAGAAAAAGGAAGTTGAGATTGAAAAGTTGCCCTGAAAAGGGAGGAGGAAATTATAAAAAGAAACCACCACCAAAGGGTCAATTAGGAAGGCAAAATAGATGCAAGAAGTGTCATGAATTGGGACATAGGCAAGCTCGTTGCCCAACTAATGGGGTGAAGAAAAGGTAATGTCTATTGATTCACATTTACTCAACTCATATTTGATGTTCTATTATTTGCTTGTAAAACTCATTGATTTTGTTGTTAGGAAACCAAAACCTAGGAAGATAAAACCAAACACTGAAGTTAATGTCGAATGTACAATCCCAGGAGATGCTCTCCTACAAGCTAGCCCTCGACCTAGGACGAGGAGGTAATGTTTTCCTTCTCTTCAATATCTCTACAACCGTGGCATGTTTTTCTCTTGAGCAATGTCTTATGTGTAGTCAAACATCTCTTGGAAGCACTCTTCAAGTGACATCTTCATCGGCTATTCCACAATGCAGCCCTGGTCCAATGACAAGGAGGTATTTTTTTTGCAATTTCTTCAATATATGTACAAATGTGTTATGTTTTCATCTAAAACAATGCCTTTTTCCATAGCCAATCATCTCTTGGAAGCCCTCTTGGAGGGGAATCTTCATTCGCTATTCCACAACGCAGCCCTGGTCCAATGACAAGGAGGTATTTTTTTGCAATTTGTTAAATACCTGTATAAATGTGTTAGGTTATTATCTTAAACAATGCATTATTCTGTAGCCAATCATCTCTTGGTAGACCTCTTGGAGGGACATCTTCATTGGCTATCCCACAACGCAGCCCTCGTCCAATGACAAGGAGGTATTTTTTTCCTGATGTTCTTCAATATCACTACAAATGTGTTATGTTTCTATCTTAAACAAGGCTTGTTTATGTAGTCAATCATCTCTTGGTAGCCCTCTTGGAGGGACATCTTCATTGACTATCCTACAAGGCATCCCTGGCCCAATCACAAAGAGGTAAAAAAACTGAAGTTTTTCTTCAATTGTGTGTAACATTTGTCTGTTTTTTAATTCAAGGAATCAATGCATTATGTAGGAAACTTTCTATGGAAACAAGGACTCCCTCTACTCCAACAAAGGTTGTTGTGAAGGCCGCAAAGAAGATCACGCCGAGGAAGAGAAAAACAATGTAGCATGTCATGTTATGATTTGTCGTGCGTGTTGTGATTTTCATGAAATTGATGCCACGTGTTCACGAAGTAGATGCTTTCGGATTGAATTCTTTCCCTGTCTTCTTTGATCTTTTCGTGTGTAGTGAGATGATGACTCACTTTATGCTTTTGAAAGCAACTTGTCATACATGACTCACTTTCTGCTTCAAATATAAAATTCATACCTATAAATTATGGATTGTCAAGTCTATGGGTACATATGCACCTTATTCTGCTGATTTTGTGGATT